ATCAAACTGTGTTTCGGTCATTTAACTCGATTTGTCCTTCAACGCGTTGGTTTCGCAGTTATTTTCAGTCACCTGTAGCCAAAATCTTAGTTCATTCATCATATACTATGGGGTAGGATCCCTTTGGGCCGCGTTGAATTCCTGTCCATACGCAGTCGAGGGAACTGCGAGCCCCATGGAAGTGCGGGTAGGAATCATTGATTATGGGCTATCCACAATTGTTGCACGGTTCTCTCAGGTTCCAACCAATGTCTGTGAACATCTCGGAAAGATCAGCATGTGAAATGACGAAAGAGCTTGATTTTCAGGAATATCGTTCAGTAGAGAACATGCTCTTAAAAGTGTGCCCACTGAATACGGGTAGGTAAGCCATGCCACCAGTGTTGACTGCGAACAATATCGTGTAATGGATTGAGCCAGGTACAATGCGAGTCACGAATATTCTAGCTGCTATGCCAGACGGACCAAAATCAACCTGTTTTGTAGCCAGTATTTTCATTTCCAGTTCCAAATTAGCTTTTGCACCCTTCGAGTTTTGCGCCATTCTGCATCTGCTAAACGAAACACGACCCTCCTAGGTAACGGGCATGTGTGGATAGTGCCCACATCAACGGAACTTATCTCTTATTATGTGCTGATCAAAGGAAAGGAGCCGATTATCACTGCGTGACACTCACCTGTGCACGTCCTCGTTGTGCCCATGCTGGAGACATCCGAACCCATCAGTGCTTCGCTGGCAATCATGATCAAACTCCTGAAGGCGCCGCAGATTCTCAGACCAAAGAGGCCAAGTCACATTTTCGAGGAGTAGGGCAGCCATCAATTTGACCGTGTACATATGGCGTTTCAGACCGATTGTAACCCACTTCTGACACCACAAATGTCAAATGAAACATAAGGCTGTCCCAGCTTTTACTGATGCAGCTAGACTGAGAGCAGTATTTATGCGCCCATCATCGTGGATGCAGCTACTATGGTGAATGTATTAATCAACTACCTCCAGTTCTTCATATTCAGTATTCAATGTCTCATAAAGAGGTTGGTGGTCTAGCAGGACTGATTTAACATTTGAAGGTGCGAAGCGCATACCGAATAATGGGACCACAATTGAGGTCATTCAGGGTTGACTGGGCCACCCCAACTTTGTTAAACAGCAAGAAGATGTCCTCTGAAGGATGAAGACTAATATAATTTTAACCGGGCAGTATGTCAATTCAAGGGAACACTGCATGATGGTGTCCATATCAAAGAAGAAGAAAATGGGGAACTTGTTCAATCCTGATGAAGACCACTTGTTGTCTTATAAGTCGCCTTACACCATGACGCGGCTCATGGTGTTCGAGTACAGGACACACGAAATGTTCATCTATATCATGGGGACACGTTTCCGGGCAAGCAACTGCTACATAACGGATCAATCGACCGCTCGAGCGGGTGATGGTGGGAGTCGAACGCATTCTGGATGTTCAGGAACTAACCTATTGTCGCTCTCCAGTACGCGTAGCGCTGCTCTAGCATCTGCCGCAAAATGAATATAACCTTCATACAGCGCCGTCTCAGACGAACACCTGCTTGCTCTTCCCTTCATCAGGATTATCCTTCCACACTGAGGTGACAGGCCAGGATTGATGTAAGTAATTATATCACCACCGGCGTTAGGTTAATGCCCATGTGGTTAGCACGGTTCTTGCGACGGCTTGATTTATATATTGCAGGCTGGCTGGGTTGGTCTCTTCCTTCTAAACATGTGCGAATAAGAATGTGAGTATTTGCATAGAGCCCCACTAGCATCCTTATGTAGTGTGTGTGCGAGAGATTCCGAAGCAGCGGCTCGAAAGCATGTGAGAAGTGTGACCGTGTTTCCGATCATCGCTTCCGACGTAGACTCTAAACTAAATCACCATGGCTCAACACGTATTGGCTGAGCAGGAACATTTCCGGGAGCACGGTGCCAACTAAAGTGAACACGAAATTGCTCCGTCTAACCCTACAGCGGCTTTATTGTGTATCAGAGCATCTGCTCTGTCGCTGATTGTCTCCCTGACACTTAGTTTCCTGGAATTAGTGGTCCGGATTAGTTGGAGGAACGGGGAGGAATTGTATTTTGCCCTCGCCTCCTCAATTGCTTGCGTCCTAATTCTCCACCAGCCTCCCTTGTAAGCACGACAGATGCGTTTTATTTCGCACCTTATGGTCCACCCGGTTACATTGTGCGTAGAGACAGCAACGAGTATTTCTCTGGACTGCAACAAGCTCATCGTCCATTCGGATATCCAATGACTGGTGAGGTGAAGAGTGATAGTGCCACAATCAGAGGCTCGCGTGTCCTGCCTAGCGGTCGATATTTTATTCCACTGAAGCCCACTGCCAGGAGGCCGAGAGGAGGAAATTTCGGTACGTAGGGCTTCTTAGGAAATATAGGTAGAACCAACTTTCCATAGGTTTGCCAATGTCAGATGATTACAACACTGATAACAAAAACCAGTTGAGCAGATATTAGAAGTCCAATATGATTATGATGACAGTAATTTAGTTGTCGATCATAGCCGTAAGATAATGGTAACGCAAGTGTAGTAAGAAGGATAGCACATGGGGGTATTGAACTAAAGCCATGCTTTGAGTAATTGACCAGATCCAGTCGAGTGCATTGGATTGGGCAATGCACTTTGCACTATTCTTCCCATGGATTTAGTAGACGTAGATACGTGATTCCTCAGACGGTAGCTTGGCAATTTATTTCGCGGAACACGTTTGTACTGATGATGGATTATTGCCACTTACATGGGAAGCATCCGGAATTCAGCTGATGTTTGTACATGTTTGTTAACAACCGAGAGAAGTTTCTTCCGCGAGTCTTACGTAATGGCACGAAATTGCTGATGGTTAAAAGGATGGGATAATGATCTGCATCACACCCAACGTCGCAGCGATATTGCGAATTAGTTCGTTTGTTCTTCTTGCGGATGTGGCTGAGACGCCACTCTGTGCCTGAGGAATGAGGTGGCAAGGTTAGTGTTGATTAACTCCTATACATACAGAGGACGTCACACCTTTAGTAACCATTGCTTGACGACAGCATTCGAATATTCCATGTGAGGTATGGTTGCTCCTTCTGAGTAGCTGCATCTGCGTGCGTGCAATTTCACGGTTCCTAAGTATCCGAATTTCTTCCGTGTATCTGGCTGTTCACGCTGAATCTAGTGGCTGACACAGAGCTTCATGTATCTGCAGCATCGTACCGAATGCCATGCACTTGCGATATGATGCTTCATATCACTTCAGTCTGATTGCGACTGTTGCGAAGCTTGTGCTGACTACTATGCCTATGGGTGTAGTTCAATATAACAGATGCCAGTATTGCTGCACACAGGAAATCATTGTCCCTGAACTCATTAGAATTTAAACGCTCTGAAGTGTGTTAACTCGTAAATGACTAGCTCTTGCTTTAGTATTCTGTATTTGAATTAGCATATGTACTCTTAATAAACTACTATAGAGAGGTGATGTAGCAGTTCTCCTTACCAGACATAACCCTCTAAACGTCCAGCGTCAATACTTCTCGTTACTAATGTCGCGCGGACTTACAGGCTCTACCGCACTTTCGCAGAAAAATTAAGCATCTGCTAAACTCCTAAAATTACCAAAAACACACTAAGTCATCTGGATTGAGAAATTAGTTGCGTAAACTGGTTAATCCATTTAACTACGCGCTTACTAAATGCAAGTACATGCAAAATGAACTGGATTGATCAGAAATCTACTTGTCTTCTTTCGTTTCTTTGCAGAAAACTCTAAAAACACTTGAACATTTGACAATCTTGCTGCATGCGACGATAAACCAAGCAAGGGACCATTTTAAACCGAGCAGCCTATTCTTTGAAGCTAATGTAGGAGAAGTGTCTAATGAAATAGGATGCTCGAGGAAGGTAGTGGCTTTAATTTGCCCAATAAACAGCGTACACTATCACATTAGAATCCCCAGATTACAGCAGGTCATATGGAAGCCAGCCGGAGTGGAAGCTGTAAGGCTCTGGAAGAAAAATCAGCGGAGTAATGGCCGTGCTCTTTTCAACCTAATAAAACATTGATAGGGAACGAGTTCATTGAATTGTTGTACAGATAGCAGAAAGCATCACTTCCAAAGCACTGGTAGTAGCGACTTATAATGCGCCCGTTTGGCTGTACGGTTCTCCGATAATCTTCCATGGACTACTGCAATTATATTTGTTTGCATTGTCCGACAGATTAAACATATTTCCAGATACAGTAACTTGCATAGAAATTCCTTAGTTGAGTTCATTACTCATAAGCAGTTTAACACTCTTACGAAGTTTTCTGCTAAGACCCTAAGTGATCACCCTCATCCGTGACATAATGCTCTCGCGAAAATATCATCTACCTCTCACAATGTTTTCAAAATTTAACTTGTAATTCTCCCATACTTCATCTTTTTCCCATCATTCGCTTCCGCCGCAGTGACGGAGTAAATACTGCGCATGCACCAAGTTGTGTGTAGCAAGCCTATTTTGACTTCCGTTAACTTGAAGACTCAACGAAGAATGATAACCTACATTGTATTTGTCCTTTCAGTAGTGGGTAACATAATGAATACGTTCTCGCAATAGCTGGTTCATAGTTTGCAAGTGACCTCGACTCGTCGACATGCGAAGCTACACTGTGCACTCAAAATGGCAATGTTGCCTACGAAACTGGTCTAATAGCTAAACTTTCGCACCAACATTTCCCCACACAGTAGGGTTTCGGAAGTGATTAGGATATCGCGAACAATATGCGGGATTTAAACATCGCAGGAGCAATCAGCCGGATGAAGGAATGTAGCTTATATGTAATACTGGGCGGCAGAATCGTGAGAAAGCTGCGACTGGGGTAGGTGGTTCCGTATCCACCACGCAATTTGCAAAGCAATTCTCACTATGGAAAACATACCCACAAAGTAAACCAAATTATCGGAACTTCCAGGATGGTTCTATTATGCAATGTTAATCAGTGAACCACAGTAAGGCGCAATGATTTTGCTTGATAATCTTGCACCATTTGGTCGATTTTGCAGTACTACTTTCCTTCGCATTCTTTTTGGCAATCCGACAATGAGTTGAAATTGTTGCGATTCCCACGACATCCGCCGTAATTGAATTCCACGCACTTTTGCTGGTCTGGATCGTATCGGAAACGCAGTAAGAACCCGCGGCATGGTCCGGGATCCGCGGAAAGTTTTCAATTACCTGAGAAATGAAGGATAGCATAAATTGAATGAGGGATTGTGAGTCATTTTTAATACATGTATGTTTGAGATGTGTGGGTGTACTCGAGAATGAGATTAACCGAGTGGTATTAAAGCTTATGTTCAGAATAAACATTTGACTTAAGGAACCACTGTGTCAGTGATTCGTCGCGTGTCAATTTGAAGTGTGAACTTTCTGATGTCTAGGTGAAATAGGCGAAGAACAATATACCTCAATGTCTGTCATAATGGCTACGCTACGGTGCGCACTGCTTTGCGTCCGTTCCATTGTGGTGCATGGTTGCTAATTTTCCTCGTCACTTGCTCAACCATGCAACAGTTACTGATCTGTGAGGCGGAGGCGGTGAACTAGTCCGTTAATTAACTGGTACATACGTGATTTTCTAGAGTATTCTTTCACACTCATAGACGGTGGCGCAGCACCTGCTTTTGGCGCCTGAGTCAGTGGTAAAATGTTCTCCCCAAATGAGGCCAGAATATGCGCGTTAAGACCACAAAATTGGCTGGGAGTAAAGTGCCTATAAGTTTTCGATGAAATCGGTGATCGCTTGGAACACTGCGATAAATGGCAAAAGTGACCACCATAGGACAATTAAGGAGTGTTCCGGGATCAACGTTTGCGCAGGCGGGAGACATGGGTTAAATGTGTTGGTGGTCATACAGAATAACATCGAAATCTTCAACCCTCAGCTAATCCGGATAATTTGCCCTTTATGTTTGTTGTCGAACAGTGGAAGGTACTAAAAATGCCGCCTCGTGTCACATGCCGTCCGGGGAGGATCGCCCAGCCCTCTCGGATTCGGCTTTGCTCAGTGAGCAATGGGATGCAGGGGAAGTATTAAACGAATTAGGTGGATTCGGATTGCGTTAGTAACCGGCACTGCTACATAATGGACTCACCCGGGATCGCAGCCTCGCTATGAATAAGAACCACACAGAAAACAATGAACAGGGTGGAAAGAGCAGTCATTTAGAAATGTGTATCGAACCGCTGTATACCTCGCTGCGCCAACCGCACATTACATTATATAGCAACTAGGCTTGTTTACCGACTGCAAGCGACAAGCATGGGACTATCGGCATTGAATACAAAATTACTTGTAAACGGTGCACACCGTTTAGTGGAAACGCCCATTTCCGGTCCTACGCAATCAAGCGGAAAATTCGCCAGATATTTCCTTGATTTCAATAGCTGGCCGCTGTCATTAACTTGTTTTCCGTAAATGTGTATGTTGAGGCCGGCTGAAGCCAAAGTACTATACTCAATTCCATTAACTGGTTGTAATATGCTAAAACTATTCCCATTGGTTGTCTTAAATCTCCAAACGAGCGACCGGTAAACTCTGTGTTTCGTGTTATTATTGCGCTAGTTGCTTACCGATATACGCCCTAAATTTTTCCGCTGACGTCTTTTGTTCACCGTCCATAATTTTGTACTGCATGGCCTTTTTCGAGTTTATGCTTTTGCAACAGAATCCCGCGCAACTTTTCAGTACTCTATCTCTGTTAACGGGGCAGCAGCCCTTTGCAAGCAGCTCGAAACATTTGACCATAACGCAGGCCGACGTTTATTGACCAATCAATGAAAGCGAACTTAAGGATGACGCTTCACTTGAACGGTACCAATGAGGCTGGTCTACAGTGAAGCTTGCCTGTAAGCGGAAGGCCCTTAATAACTATTGATTCGACCCCATTATTTGGATCACTTATACTGCTTGTCACGGGGGCGCAATACATTTTTCGCCTGAGGCGTCTTCTAATCTGAAAAGCCGGCCGATCAGCTTGTGCGGTAGCAGCAGGTTATGCGTACAGACAGCGGAAATCACAACTATCTCCTCTCATTGGGATGGGACGGGTGTGGATGCTTATTTTAGCCAGACACATTTTCTCACACTTTTCTGCTGAATCCCATTGACACAAATGCAAAACTGTTGAGGAATTCACACAAAGTATGGAGACGGTGTTGGCCAAAAAGTATATTGACCGTGATAGAGAAAGCTGTCGTTAGTTTCATCGTTTGATATGAATTATTCATGAAACAATATGACTCCGTGTAAGTATTCACAAACTCATTCACACAAGACGATATCCAGCCCAGTTTTCAAAGCTTTTCATTTATTGGTATGGGAGGAACCTGTATTTGGCCCTATCTTGAAAACTTGCGACACGCGCCAATTAGTTTGACATGCTGGTTGTCAAACAACTCTGGCACTGTAGGGCTATCCGCTTCAGTGTCAGCTGAATAGATTTAATGTATGCAGCATTGCGCAGCACGGATTCTGGAAGGGATTTACTTGCCTCAGAAATTTCTTTGTAGCTCGTGAGAGCTGGACTGATGCAGTGGACAATGGCCAGGCACTGATCATGCTGTTAGTGAATTTGTTCGAAGGTATTTGACCTGACGCCGCACCTGGGACTATCGCGGAAGCTGAACTCTTCAGGTGTGCCTGCTCGGGCCCATCACTGCTTGGCGGCATAATTACATGGAAGGGAGCAGTGGGTACAGGTAAGTCGCAGCGTACTGTTTAAGCAGTCTCTCTTCACTGGCGTACCGTAAGTCGAAGTGCTTGGACAGCCGCTGTTCTCCATCTATCTGGATGACCTATCTTCTGAACTGGAGGTAACATCGCTATTATTTGCTGAAGACCCATAGCTCTGGGATAGGGTGGTTGTTTCTCGGAGTGTCGGATCCATCCAGTGTGTGTTGGCCAATCTTTGGGACTGGTCCAATTTATTGCTGCTGTCCATTAATCAGCAAAGTATTCGGTTGGATATTGGGTGTTGCCAGCCCAAACACACTGCACAACCACGACGCGTTTCGATTTAATTTCTTCTCATTAGGTGGAGACAGCAGGCGTCAAACCCGCGACCATTGGAAAAGTAGCCGAAATCTCTACCCCTTTAGCTACCGGGTCACGGCTTGCAACGCTTGGCCCAAAGGTAAATGACTTATTGGAGGGTCAACTTTTGACTAAAGGTTGTGTGATTGGATTGCGACGCGCAATCTCAATGTAATGAACCGTGATTCACATTGAAGTGCATCTTAATCACTGCGATCATTGGGACCGTGCTCAAAGAAAATGGCCTACTGTCTCCACTTGATGAGATAAAATTACATCGAAACGCGTCGTGGTTGTGCAGTGTTTTCTGGCGGGCAACACCCAATTTCTACTTGCTTTGAGTACGGTCAAAGTGATCGCAGTGACTAAGATGCACTTCAATGTGAATCACGGTCCATTACATTGAGATTGCGCGTCGCAATCCACTCACACAATGAGTAGTCCAAACTTCACCCTTCAAAAAGTATTCGGCTCTTCGTATTGGTGTAGGTTGTTCCTTCTCGAGGTACTTAGTCGGTGGGGTCGAACTCCAGTGCGAATTCGGCCAGGTTGATGTAGGCGTAATCGATTCTTCCAGTGTACAGTCGGGCGACAACTGGAACAAGACCGCAAACAGAGGCTTACTTTCGCTTTTATGAATACGTTTACCTTCGGAATCATGAACGACGACAACTTGTAAAATTGTGCTGAGCATTTGTTCGGCCAAATGTGGGGTATTGCGTCCACGCTTGTGAGCACTGCATCTCACGGGGCAGATTGTTGTTAGAGAGGGTCATACGCGTGGGTACTACATGGATTGAGGGGTTAGGGGGACAAACCTTCTCCAAACGTCTATTTACACTGCGGATGTATCTAATGTGCCACCGATGGATTAGTGAAGATATCAAGCTAAAATCTATGGTATTATCACTGAGAAGGTTTGCGCGGATTTCTCTTGGTTCATCAGTCCACGTTAGATTTTTTAACCTCCGCTGACACAAAATGAAGCACGGCAACCCGTTGTGCGATGGGATTAGGGCGGAAATTCAGCTATCGCGCAGAGTTAACGAAGCCGGAAACGCACTTTCTGACAGTGTTACTAGAAATCTGCGAGTAGGGGTGGCAACACGAAATATTTCCGTTCTCCTGACAAACTTCCATCATCATACTCCCATTTTGTGTTTTCTGTTCATCACAACTTGCTATTGTGCTTTTTCTAATGACCTTGCCTATGCTCTAACTTCGGTTTCTTGGTTGCTTACTTCAAGCGAACTGGCAGAGCAGCGAGCGTGTGCGGTAAACGTTTGACTGGAGTGTGATTCAGGTGTTCCGCTGTAGATCCATTACGACCTCAGACCACCTCATCAACTACTGGCTCAACGATCAGCTCAAGGAGTAATACTAACGTGATTCTCCTATCGTTCCAGTCCAACCTGCACTTGAACTGGACATTTCCTGAACTATGACCCCAAGCCAGGGCGATGTGGCTAGGGATTATTTACTGAACGGGAGTCCAGTGACTTCATATGCTGCGGCCTGGTGGAGGGGGATTATCACACCACCTCCACCATGAAGATTGTGTGTGAGCAAAGGGGGTGCGATGTGGTGGACGCTCGCAATGCATATGTGCAACTTGTCTTACTCTCCGAAACCACCGCAGCCTGTTCACTCGTCTGAGCTCCTTTGTACGAACACGGAGTTATCACCCCTCAAACACTTACTATCGAATGCCAAATGTCAATGCATGTTAATCATGCGATTCGACCGGGACTAACGTTTTGTGACGGCATCATGTAATCCATTGCCTTGTAAACCTTGCTGACGATGCTAAAATGCTGCTGTTTGCGAAACACTGATCAAGATTTGTTGATAATATGATTCATTGGAATTGCACGAATGACTCACAGTAACGTAACCCCAGTGTAGACAATGCTGCTCATTTGTACACCAGAACAGGTTCACTTTTTAAAATGGTTGACTTCTTACATCAAGGGTGGAAAACAAACAGTCTGATTTGGTAATTGCACCTCCGAAGACACTTTCATAACTATTGGATTTATTCAAAGCCGCGATCTGGGGACGAGGTCACTCCACTTCAACGCTCTCATCGATGAAGTGATGCTCGGGAAGCCATTGCATTTCACTGTTGCAGTTAAAATGT